TTTTTAATTTCAGGTTTATATAATTAAAATTTAAATATTGAGAGTGAGATAATTTCTGTTACCCATATAATTTGTGTGTTAAATTTACTAATATTAAACATATTAAATTAACATCTCAATTATTATTATTATTATTATTTAAATCACTGGGAGAGTGAAAAAAAAAAAAAAAAGACCTAAAGTTATGGCCAAATGTATTGGCATTTGGCACCACAAATCCTTCGTCAAATGTTAACTCCTTTTCAGATTTCCCAATATTCTTCTTTTTCTCCACTTGAGTTCCTGTTAATTCCCATAAATCAATCAAATTAAATTAAATTAATAACAACAACATCTAATTGTAAAAAGAAAATACAAATTATTCCAATTAACATCAGACAATATATTAAAAAAAAAAACAGAAAAATAAAAAGAAAATGAAACAGAAAAAACAAACAAATACACACACAAACAAGAAAATGATGGATCTAACAAAAAAAACATATGGAAATGTTACAGTCCCGTTATGAAACCATTCTATCGGAATTTGTAACTGTTAGATCATCATATAACCGTCGGGATAGTTGATCTAACGATTACAAACTCAAACGGAATGGTTTTTTGTAGAATCTCCCAAAAACATAAAACTCAATAAAATATAAGTTCAACATTTCAGATTTGAGCATAATTCTAATAATAATTATAATTACCTAATAATAATAATAATAATAATAATAATAATAATAATAATAATAATAATAATAATAATAATAATACCAATCTCAGGTTGAACAACGATGACCGTCATCGTCAGAGGGAAAATGAGCCCAAAATTGGAGAAGATAGCAATAAAATGTAAGTGGAGGGGTGAGAATACAATATCGAGAAAGTTGGAGGTGTGGATATGGTGAAAGAAAACGGGCGGTATTTATAGCCGCCGGAGAGTCCTTCCCTGAGAATTCAGAAGCTATGAGTCCTTAACTGAAAATTCCATCAAATCATTATTTTATACCTTTCGTATCCTTTTTTATTTTTCTCGCTAAAATTATAATAATATTAATCTTTTCTTTTAATATAATAATAATTAAAATTAAAATAAAGCTTATTGTCCGTCCATCCATCCAGCTGTTGGTCTAATTTTGGAGGGGAAAATAAAATGGAAAACTAAAATAAAATAAAAAAAACAAAAACTGATTATTTTATTTAGATTTTATCGGGTGGGCGCGTGATGAGTCAGCAGTGCGTTGGACTTGGATGACAGCTTCCTTCGTAATTACGGAGTTCCATAGGATGGGGCCCACCACTCACCTGAGTTTTCACTGTTCAGTCAATTACGGAGTTGGTTTTGGACGAATGTTAGTGTAATTACTTTCTTTATTTTGCTTATATGCAAAAAGAAATATTCACCTACCCACGGTGGGCACATGTTAATATGTCCCACCGCGTAGGTCAAAAACGAAGCCAGAAATTTTGGTTGCTGGGGTCGAGACAAATCCCAGGCTCGCCCATATATAGATCCACCCCTGCTGCCGGGGTCTTATTATTTTTTTAATGGAGTCTTACACGGTGAAATTTTGTTACGTACAAGTGGTTCAACGCAAAGCGTCGGTGTCGGACGACCCCAGCCACTGAACGTAGCTTTGCCACTGGCATAGGTGGCATGCGTTTATTGGTGATTTATTTTATTAAACATATTAACATCACCAATAAGTGCGTGTCATCTAGGCGGTGGGCATATTAACATGTGTCCACCGTGGGTAGGAGAGCATTTCTATATATGCAAATAGGTAAACATACTAATAAATAATAATAACAATTATAAGTAAGTCTTGAGTTCGAGTCGTCCAATTAAAAAAGTGAACAACCATCATTGGTTCTCTTTTAAAAGAGTAGGGAAAAAAAATATTTAAAATTAAATATGAGAGTAAACAATATTAAATAATAATTATAAATTAAATATGTGGCGTTAACGTATAGTATAATTTATTGTATATCAGTTTATTATAAATCATATAAAACTAGCTTGTGCAAGAGAACATAAAATTTGTATATTTAAAATATTCTATTAACATATGTAAAATAAAAGTATCTACAATTTTCTATATTATTAGTAAAATATGAGAAATCGCCTACAACTTTTCTAAAGCATTTTAGAAAGAGAACATGTCTAAAAATATTTAAATTTTACATTTGATTGATAGATGTTTTTTAAACTCTTTAGTAAAGAAATCATGCTTAAAAATATTTAAATTTAATATGTATATGTATATGTGTATATGTATATGTATATATAAATATAATATGACATAATAAAATATTATATAAAAATATCTAAATTATAATAAGCCTAAATATAGACATTATAAAATTTTTGAGAAAAATTTACCTCATATATATAAAATAAATAGTGACATTATACCGAGAATTATGACGGTACTTTCGTACCTAAAAAATTGGGTATAGAATATTCAAAATTATTATTAATTTTTTAAGTAATTTGAGTACAGAAAATTTCAGAATTATTATTATTTTTTATTTACTACAAAAAACGTTGTACGCATAAATTTTTTTTATTTAATATTGGAATTTAAAAAATATTATATGTTATATAATCCAAAAACGATTGCACTTAGTATAAAAATATTTAATTTCGAGGTAGTATATTTATATATAAAAAAAAACATCAATAGTATTTTACGTAATTAAAAATATTTATTCAGTCCGATTTTATGACAGCAAAATATTAGCAATTTTAAAATTTGAATTTTAAATTCTAAATGAGGCTTGATTTTCAATGCAATCGTTTTTTTCGAAAATAAAGTCATATTTTACATATTTTATATTATTCAGAAATTCTATGGCACCACATGTGACACCATATTATGGTGCCACAACATGATGTGGCACATTATGATTGGTGCCTCAACATGATGTGTGATAGTTGTGGCACTAATCATAATGTGCCACATCAATTTAAGAACCATTTAAGGCTAACCGAGTTTTTTTGGGAATGAATTGAAATTAAAATGTAAAAAAAAATGTTGAAAATAGTAAGTAATAAATGCGAGTTGATTTTTTCTTGTTACTATTTATGATAAATGTTAATCTCTTTAGATATACTAGTGTTGTAGTTTTACTAAGATAAATATTTAAATTTGGATGACTGGATGATTGGAAGAACGCAAGTATTGGAATAAACAAAATATAACTTATATATTATTAAACACATTGTTGTACACAACATTATTTGTTTGGTCTTTTAGTACATCGTCTATCACCACAAAATATAAAATTATATTAGGATTCAGGCTTACATAAATCAATTATTTATTTAGCAGGATATATATAATATTTTGTAAGTATTGCAATCATTATCTATTTTGTAAGTGTGTATACAATCAATTTCAAATTTGTATTATAGAGAATTAAATAAAACCCGTAAATTTTTAGGATGTTTCAATCTGATTTCATTTTGAATTGCAAATTAATATTATTTAAATCTATTTTATGTTTAAAAAAACTGAACTAAAGAAACTAACAGCCCAATGATAAGGAATTTTTAAATTTTAATTTTCAATTTGAAAATGGATCTGATTTCTATACAATCCGATCTTTTTAATAAACATGATCTGTTGCAATTCGGTAAACATACATGTTATAGTATTTTTGCCTACTTCAAAATTCTTGATTTTAATAAATAATGATAGAATATGGTCACTACAAAAAAACACTACAATTCCAATAAAAAATTCCAACGGCGAAAATTTCCGTTGGAAATTCCAATGAATATTCCAACAAACTTAATTTTATGCTGGAATAAGTGTTGGATAGTTGAGGAATTCCAACGGATTTTTTCGTTGGAATAGCTGTAGGAATTTATTTCCGTAGGAATTTATTTCCATAGGATTTTCCGTTGGATATTTGCTATTCCAACGACCGTATTTCCAACGGATTTTTATACGTAGGAATATCTGTTGGAATAGCTAATCCAACAGAAATATAAAAAAATCCAACGGAAAATTTTCGTTGGAATGTAAGAGTTTTTTTTGTAGTGGGTCACTACAAAATAAATGTTATATTCCAACGGAAAATCCTATGGTAATATATTCCAATGAAAATTCTAACGGATATTCCAATGGAATAGCTTCCGTTGGAATAGTTCCAACATAAATTCCAACGAGAAATATTCCGTTGGAATGTGTTTTTTCATCGGAATTTTAGATGAAATTTGATGATTCCAACGGCTATATTTCCAACGGTTTTTTACCGTAGGAATTTCCGTTGGAATATGCAAATTCCGCTAGAATTTTTTTTTCCACCCCCGTTGGAAAATCCACCGTCGGAATCGTCAAAATTCAACAGAAATTCCAATGAAAAACCTATTCCAACGGAATATTTTCGTTGGAATTTCCGTTGGAATCCATTGAAAAATTCCAACGGAAATAATAGTATTGAAATATCCGTTGGAACTGCCGTTGGAATAATTCTCTTGAAATATATTTCCGTTGGAATTTCATCATTTTCTTGTAGTGGGTAAACGTATTTTTTTTTAATAAATAATGATAGAATTTCACTTTCACAAAATTGTCGTGCAGAATTTTACATAAGTTAACCCGTTTTCTATGCAACATTTTTTTTTTTTTTGATAAACAATTAATTAATCTGTTGCAATTAGTAAAAAATATATGTGCTAGCATTTTGTCTAACTCAAAATTCTCGATTTCATGGTAATCAATTTTTTTTTTTTAATTAAAATGAGAAAGAATTTTTACTTTTGCAAAATTGTAAGCATCAGTCGAAGTTTACCTAAATTAAATTCATAAAACCCATTAATTTAGGGTGCATATATAACTGATTTGTTTTTTAAGAATAATTAAAAAAACTAACAAAAATAGAATGAAATAAATGTTGATTGACTTTTCTTGTTACTTTTTTGATAAATAGGTTGTCTCTTTATATAGATATATATATATATAAATATAGATAAACAAATTATGTTACAGTAACTTTTTTTTTTTTTTTTTTTTAATCTGTTAGAAAAGCTAAGAGATTATAATTTTTAAACTGTATATGAGATTTTGTAAGTTACGATGATATTTTTGTACGATATTTATGCTATGAAACTTTTTAAGCTTGCGGACTTATTGAACAATTTTCACATTTTAACAGCTAACTACTTTTTGTAGTTGAACAAATTCTATATTTTAAGTGTTGCATTTAATGCTTCCGATAAAAAAAAAATAAAAAATAAAAAAAAAAATAAATAAATAAAATTATGGGCAACATTTAATGATGTCCGTTTTACACCAAATAAGTAATAATGAAATCACAATATATTTAAATAAAAAATACTACCTCAGATTTCTAATATATGTCGTTTTGAGAAGTTACACACTAATTAAAAATATTTTTTTATCAATAATAACCTTATTTAATGAAGACAGAGATGAATGTTTTGAGAAAAAGTAAAGAGTGAATATGAAAAGACGTAATGTATTTATTGGCTAAATGAGGGTAATAATGGAAAAAATATGTACAATATATCCAAAACGATATTTATTTAGCAAGTAGTAGAAACAAATACTCCCTCCTATTCATAATATTTGTCGTTTTGAGAAGTTGCACAGTTATTAAGAATTTTTTTTACCAATAATAACCCTCATTAATGAGGATAGAGATGAATGTTTTGAGAAAAGATGAAGAGTGAATATGAAAAGACGTAGTGTATTTATTAGGTAGATGAGGGTAATAATAGAAAAATATGTACAAAATATCCAGAACGACATTTATTTTGTTAATAGTTAATAATGCTAAAAGAACATTTAAAAAGAATAGGAGGTAGTATAAGTTAGCTCGTAAGTCGTAACAATGAAATCATCACAATATTACAAAAGTAGTAGAAATGCAGCCTTAAACATCAATAAAATAGTTGAGTTGGCGTATCTATCTATCCTATTCAAGGTGTATTGATGACACAAAATGTATGAAAATTCAAGTCATTGACAAATTATTATTATTATTATTATTATTATTATTATTATTATTATTATTATTATTATTATTATTATTATTATTATTG